GCTCTGGGGAAGGGGCCAGCGTGGGTCAGCTCTGGGAGACTCCTGGCCTGCACCCGCCTTCATGTGTCAGGATGGCGGTGAGCACACCCTGATCTCCTCCCTGGTGACCCCACTGCCTTCGGAGACCAGGGCTCAGTGGGAAGGCCCCCCAGGCCTCCAGCTGTGCAGCCAGGGCCAATCATCAGACCGCGGCAAAGGAGCCGTCAGGGTGGGCGCCAGGCCCCCGGGAAAGAAGGGTTCATAATCAGGTGGCCTAACCACCTGTGTAAACTGTGTATTTCTTATGATCGATGTGCTAAATGGCTCAGGTTTAATTAAGTTCTGCTGACTTGTTCCCTTTGAAGGCTCACTGAAGTGTGATCACAACCCCCAGAATTAATAACAGGAGAGAAAAAACTTGAAAGGGGTGGCAGGTCCCCGCCGCCATCATCCTCTTTCCCTGCCCCAGGGGCCTTCGGCCAGCGGCTTCTCAGCTTCTCTGCCAAGAACCCGGTAGGGAGATGCTGAGCCTGGACGCGGGACCTTCTCGCTCTTCATCCAGTGTTCCTTCAGGACCCTTGCCTGTGGCCAAGGGTCTAATGAGGTCCCTCTGGTTCCAAAGGTCCCCATGCAGAACCGTCTTCTCTTCCCTGTCCCCACTGTGCTTTCTGCCTTCTCTCACCTGCTTCTCTCTCTTGTGACCCCCTGTGGTCTGTAACATGAGGGTCAGCCTTCCTGGTCACCTCCTGCGGTGTGGCGGGAAATCTAAGCGGCTGATCTTCATCCTTCCTGAGCCGTCCCCTTGGACACTGCTCTTCCCCCTCCCAACCTGCCCTATGGACCATATTCAGGTTGACTCTGCTCTGAGTCACCATCCAGAGCTCCTGGACACCATCCCTACCCCCACTGACATCCTCCTCCCTGGGCACAGGCACAGAGATGAGCTGGTCACCCCTCCCTGGCCTTCCCTATAATCCGTTTCCCCAAGGCCATCAAAGATGGCACTGTGCCCATTGAATAATCTCTCTCCTGAGATTCGTGGCAATGAGAGGATATTGTAATGGAAGGACGAACTTGAAGTTCAACCCAGAATATGACTTTTTCAAGAATCTAATGGGAACTCCAGTAAGGCGGAGCAGTTCAATAGAACATTCTGAGATGACGGAAATGGTGCATATCCAATATGGTAGCCACCAGTCATGTGTGGCTGACAAGCTGTGGTGAGTGGAACCGAGAACCTGGATTAGATCTGATTTAAATAGCCACTAACAGCCGCCATGGACTCTAAGGAGTCCAATCTTTCACAAGGTCTGGCCTCAGATCCTAACCTCATTTCCCTGACTCCAGGTTCAAGTCTATCTGTCTCTTGGCCTTCTTGATTGGCCTTCTCTCCAACCAACGGTTGGGGTGCTCCACCCACTGGGTGTGATCTCAGCCCTGGAGTCTGTCCCCCATGCATGCCCCTCTTTATGTTTCTCTGGCTTGGGGGTGTTCAATCTGGAATAACACCCCAGGGTGAGGGCAATCAGTATCCACTATTGACACCCCAGGAACCTATGGCCAGTCTGGGGGGAAGGGCTTCAGCACTCTGAGTCCAATTTGGGGCTCAGCCTCCACCTCCCCTTCAGTGAAGCTGTCACTACCACATTAGACACATACCATCATCAACTCTCAAAGACAAACACTTCTCCTAAGGAGGTGGATTTCCAAAGCCAATCAGATGCCATATTGAACTGTCCTGTGACCTGCCAGAGCCTTCCTCCAAGCCATCAGCCACCAGGTCATTAGGCAGAGTGGGGTTTTTATCCTTGCCCTCTCCGTCCTACCTCCCCAGATGCTCTTCTAGCCCTGCTGGGGGTGGGGGAAGCCACACGCATCTTAACAGCTGCTCCCCCAGGAACACTAATGGAAGCTTTGAAGTAATTACTTTATTGAGGAATCTCCCCTTAGTCACAAACTTCTGTTTGCCCAAGTTTCCTTCTGGGAAGATGGAGGTACTAGCTCGGCTTTGTTATAATCTACCTCCAATTTCACACCCTCTGTCTTCCATGTTGTTTCATTGCCTGTATTCTGGTCCTGCACCCCACTTTGACACACAGCATCCCCCCCCACATCCTGATATTTCCAGGGGGATTTCAACACCATGCCCCACAGCCAATCTGGGATTGCCCCTCTGTGAATGTTTTTCAACTTCCTATAGAACTGCACTCTGTTGTTGATGAGCATCTAAAATGCTGAAGGGTGGGTGGATGGGTGGGTAAATTGGTGGTTGGATGAGTGGATGAGTGAGTGGATGGATGGGTGGGTGGATGGGTGGGTAGATGGGTAGATGGGTGGTTGGGTGGATGAGTGAATGGATGAGTGGATGAGTAGATTAGTGGATGGATGGATGGATGGATGGATGGATAGGTGGGTGGGTAGATGAGTGAATGGATGAGTGGATGATTGGGTGGATGGATGGGTGGATGGGAGGAGCCCAGCCTGTTCATGCTGCACCCCTGCAGACAGGCCCTCAGTGCCTCTTCTTAGTGAGTACTCAGAAGACACACTAAGCTCTGCAGGGGTTAACACCTGCCCTTTGTCTCTACATCACTTCTGATTGGCCTCAGCCCTATTCCTTAAGCACACCATCAGCTCTAAATATAAAATATATACATATATAATATTTTTAAATTATATTTTAAAAGCAGGTGGATTTGGGGTGGGGAAAGGAGAGAAAAGGAAGGAGCAGCAGAGATCAGACTCCTACCAAAAGTGGCTGAAAGCCAATCGCTTACTCTGGTGGAAAATAATGTTTAAAACCTCACTGTTGTTCACTCTCAAGGATCTTCTAAGAGTCAGCAAAAGTGATTAAAAATATGTTAAGGAGATAAAAACAAATTTACAGCCAAACAGGGGGAGGTAGGGGGAGTGAGCCCCAGAGCCGACCATGAGGTCCCACTTCCACCGCAGAGGTCACTGCCTGGTTGTTTCTGGAGAGGAAGGCTCCCTGCTGGCCCTCTTCCTCGCCACCCTGAAGGTCTTCAGAGTCATCTTCCTGGAGAGAAGGAGGACCCTAGGAGGTCGGGGTGGCCTGGCCTTTGCCACTGGATCATTCGACTCCTCTCTCCAACCCCACTCTGAGATGGGGAGCAAATAAAACGAGGTCCAGGTTGCAGATTGGAGAAAACATGATCAGAACTCACGTCCTTCATAGCAACCAAAGAAAAAAAATGCTAGTTGATCTTTTCAGTTTAGTCAGCCCCATTTTTGTGGACTGTGCTCCAATTCATGGCTTGAGGTAGTTTTACCCCTTACTTAGGGGAAGAAGGAAGTGGGCCGGTGGGAGGCAGGGACCTCAGCTGGAGCTCAGACCCCCACCCCGGTGTCTGACTGAGACATCTGACCTGTAGGCAACTTCAGACCAACATGTCAACTGTCTTCAGAACCTGAATTTCACATTTATTCGTGTAGAGCAAACATTCCCCAAGCTCCGTGTGATGCTGGTGTCCCTCTAGTCTGATACCTCCCTGCCACCGGGAGCCCCTGTCCCGAGAGAGATGCCGGCAGGCAGGTGTGGGCCCCCTGTCACCAAGGAGCGTGTCCTCTGGGCTGAGTGTGGGTCGCCTGGGGGCAGGGGGACCTAGGTCTCCCTCATCTGGAGCACCTTTTCCTCACTGGAATGAGGACGGAATCAGGAGAGGCGAGGAGATCATCTAGAATGGTAGACTCCCCCGGCCCCACCTCGCCCGGGGCCAGCAAGGTTGGGAAGAATTGCAGGTGACCATAAGAAAGAACTCAGGTATCGAAGAATCTGTAGAATTGGATTATAAACAAGTGAGAATAGATGATCCCAGGCCCATGGGACTGTCAGAGAAAACCCCAAAGACACAGGCATGCGGTGGTGTCCCGGCTCCAACCAGGCAAGTTGTGGGGTTGGCAGAGGGATGGAGGCGGGGATGGCTGCATGGGGGTGTGACCAGTGCAGCCACATGGTCCCTGTACCCAGAGGGAGGCCCCAGAAATGGGGTTGAATGCTGTGTCCACCCTCTTGGAATCCTGAATAGTTTTCTGTCAGTGAGTCCAGTGGGACATGGCAGCGTGGGCCAGGGGCTAGGAACTTGGCACCTCAACTGTGGGTCAGTGTCTTCTGGCCACCTCCTGCTCCCTGAGAATGGGCTCTCGGCCCACTGTCCCTTGCCCCACCCATAATGCTGCCCTCTCTGTCTTGGGAAGGGTCTGGGCACAGTCTCCAGGAAGGTCAAGGTCAGGTGCAGCGTTGCAGGATCTAGCCAACTTTTCTCATGGGGCATCCATATCCTCAAGTTCCAGTGTCCTCAAGGCCCCAGGGTCCCTCTGAGGGTCTGCACTTACCGCAAGAAAACATGTGCTCAATCAGAAGAGCAAACTTCACCACCATGACAGGTCGAGAGAAGGAAAAGAGCTTTCTCTGCTTTTGGAAAAAAAAGGGGTCCCACATTTTCACGTCGTGCTGGGTGCCCCTGAGAGAAGGGAGGCTGGACAGGCAGGTCAGGCACTGGTGGGGCCCACTGCTGCGGAGCGGGGCCTTCGCTGTGTGGACCAGAGTTGGCACCCTCCTCGGTAACAGGCCAGATGGTGACTATCTTAGTCTTTGTGGCCATGTGGCCCCTGTTGTCATGACAGTGACACTGTTGTTCAAAAACAGGCAGTGCACACATCAGGGGCTAGAGCTGCGCTCTAATAAAACTTTATTTTAAAACAGACAGTGGGCCAGAGGCGGCCTTCGGACCACAGTGTGCTGTCCCCCGTTGCAGACGAGGGGAGTCACTGAGGGTATCTGAGCGCAGAAAGGCACTGTTTTACAAGGTGAACTTGGCTCCACCGTCCAGTGTGGGTGAGATGGGGTCAGCCCAGGCGAACTTTGAAAACACCAGGGGGGCTAGGGGAGAGAGAAGGGGCCCAGACTTGCAGCCGGGGTTGGAAGGGCAAATGGAGGCCGCGCCAGCCTCACCGCGGTGCTGTCCCAGGACTCCTGACACAGCTGACCCTCTCTCCTGCAGAAGGGAGGAAGAGCAGGCGCAGGGTGCGCACCACCTTCACCACGGAGCAGCTGCGGGAGCTGGAGAAGACCTTCCAGCTCACCCACTACCCCGACATCCACGTCCGCAGCCAGCTGGCCACCAGGATCAACCTGCCAGAAGCTCGGGTGCAGGTACGGCACCTCCAGCCCCAGCCCCGGCAGGGACCACGGTGACAGGCTGCGTCCTGAGCCCCTGGGGGTGCCCCTTCTGGAATTTTCCATTGGCTGCATTTCATTGGCCAAATACTATTTTTCTAGCACTGAAATCACCACCTGATGAGAAATAAGCCATCGTTATAAGGCGGTTTCTCTCCTTTTGTGGGGAGCAAATGGAGGGAGGCAGCATGCGGGCCTCTGTTGGTCTCGGCCTCTTCCTCCCCACGTGCTTACAGCTCCAGAGGTCGGTCGCCCCCGCAGCCTCGTTCAGAAACCAGGTTTTGACAGTCCAGGCCAGGGGGTGGACAAACTTCTGTGAAGGCCAGATAGTGACGACTTTAGTCATTGTGGGGCATACAGTGACTGTCAGAGCCACCGTCAAGGCCACTCTTGACATAACCATTCAAGACTGTAACCTAAAAGCAGCCATAGACACCATGAAAGCTGTGTGACTCCATCATGGATTAATCCACCGGTGGTCAGAGCCCCCATGATCCACTCACTTCCCAAAAGCCCTGCCTCTGAGCAGGGCTGCTTTAGAGACCAAAGCTTCAACACAGGAGGCTCTGAGGGCCACTCCAGATCCAATCCAGGACAGTAGGGCTCTGATAGAACTGAACACCGAACTCTGAACGTTACCTAATTTGCGTGTGTTATGAAATATTATTCTTTTGATTTTTCTCTCAACCATTTAAGACTAAAAACCATCCTCATCTCACGAGCCATTCAAAGACACGCGGAGGCCGGGTTCAGCCCACAGGTTGCCTTGGCCAAGCCCTGCTCTGGACCACAGGGGTGTGCTTTGGGGGCAGCACAGATTTCCAAAGCCCCTGGGGTCCATGGCGAGAGCCTGGTTAAGCACTGACAGTCTCATCTGCCCTCTGTCATCTCTTCCCCCAGAATGTCTGGTACTTCATCTCCGGTTACAAACACAGCCACTCCCTGTCACCAGCGGGGACCTTCCACCCTTTCTCAACTGCAAACACCAGGCCCACACACAAGGTTCTGCCAGATTCAAGGGTACCACGTGGGCACTCTCTCTAAAACAGTCTCCCACGTCATTCTTCATTTTCAAAAACCAACGCAATGCACAGGTTCTGATTCGCACTCCCAACCCGGCCCAGGCCAACTCTCCACTCTATTCCATTCCAACTCCTCTCCCCCCGGCTGAGGCCCACCCTGCCTTACCCTTCTCCTCTTTCCCCACCTGAATCTGCCCTGAAGCCTAGAATTCAACTCCTGCCTCAGAGCAATCATCAAGTTCACATGGTCACGCACCAGGACCACCGGGTGGAAAACAGCCGACGGATGGGTTTCATTGGGCCTGCACAGTATTTTAACACTTAGAAGCTTTCACATCAAGATCAACATCTTCCCCCTGGAAACTGGTTGAGTCCAAATACGGGGCTCAGGTTTCCAGGTGTTGACTGAGACAGGAGCTGAGAAGCTGCCCCCTTTAGACCACAGACCCCTCGATTCCCAATATCACCCCTGCATGGTCCCCACAGCCCTGTAGGCACCAAAGACCACAAACCGGGTCCCCTGTCAGAGAGCTGAGGTCCAGATCTAAAGAAACCCTGAATGCATCTAGCTTACAAACTGTGAAGTGCGACCGTGGGAGGGGCCATGAGGAACTCCTTCATGCCTCTCCACCTTCTCCAACCACAGATCTGGTTCCAGAATCAGCGAGCCAAGTGGCGGAAGCAGGAGAAGACCGGCAGCCTGGGCGCCCTGCAGCAGCTGGGTGAGGCCGACGTGGCCCTGCCCATGAACCTGGACGTGGCTGTGAGTGCCCTGGTCATCAGGGCAGGGGGGAGGGACCACCACCTGGAGACATCCCAGCCAGCCCCAGGTGTGAGGAAGCACCCGGGGTCGTGAGAAATAGCACAGGCAAGGAGGCTTCTGGAAGACCAGCCTGGGGCGAGTGGCTGGCCTCTGCCCCGTCCTCATCCCTGAATGGCGATCACTTCTCCTTCCTCCAGGGGGTGGAAGGTGGGACTTGTATGATATTTCACAGCTTACAAAACAAAGTCTCGGAGTAACGCGCAGGACCCAGAGGTTGGGCGTTAGCTCTAGAGTCGGACTGCCCGGGTTCAAACCCCAGCTCTGCTCAGACCCATGGTGCAGCCTGGAAGGGTCACCTTGTCCCTCAGAGGACAGTCAGTGAGATTTGACGAGGCTGAGATGACTGAGATGCGGAGAATTCTGATTCTTGGCATCCAAGAAGCGTCCCGAAACATCAGCCACCCGCGGAGCCTACATATGTTCTGGGCATACACCAGGCGCTCATCTCGGCAGTAGAGCCAGAAACAGTAGACAGCCTGCCCTGCCCCAGGGACACAGGTGTCTACAGCCACCGCGAGGCTCCGGGGTGGAACTTTTTCATGCACTTATTTCTTTTGCTGCTGCAGAGACCAGGATCCGACTAATGATTCTAAGTGGCAGAGTTAGGGCTGTCCCCTAGCCCAGGGTCATGCCCTTCTTACAGGGACCAGGGTCCGCACAGGACTTTCACTGCTGAGCCAGGAAGTCCCAGGCCACGGGGAAGCTGGGAGGTGCAGGGACAGCTCTGGGTTAACTCACCTCTGTCCCCGACCTCTCCTCTCACAGGGCTCCGTGCTGACACCCTCTGCTCTGCCCAGGCTGGCTCCCCCCACAGGCTGCTACCCACCTGCTCAACATCAGCTGCCCTCTGCCTGGGTCCCTGCCCACATGGCCGTCCTCCCGCAGCACCCGTGGGAGATGCCACCCTTCCCGGGCCCTCTGCTCCAGCAGACCTGCGTCCCCGCCCTCTGCCTCCTTCCACCTCCGCACCCCAGCTGGGGCGGCATCTGTGCCACTTCAACCTAGGAACCAGAAACCCTCTCTCTCTGGTGACAGCAGGTGGCAGAGGGTGCCCTGGGTCTCAGGGAAGAGCATCTGTTCAGGCTGTCCTGACCTGCCATTGGAAGGGGGCACGGGCCTCCGTAGCAGGGTGGACAGCAGAGGACCACACTCGTCTCTCCAGCCCAAGTTGCTCCCCTGGTGCAGAAAACAAGCTGAACTGGAATGTGTAGGGGGTCCTCTCGCTCCTGAGCTTCCTTGAACTTGCTGTGCCACCTCCAGCAGGTCACTTGCCCTCTCTAGACCTCATCTGTAACACAAAGCAGTTGGACAAGATGATTTCTGGACACACTTCTCTCCCTTCCTTTGATGAGGCGAGCCACAGTGAGCACCGAGGCAGGGAGGAAGCCGCAGAAGTGTCATTCCTCCTGCACTCATTCAACATGCGTCTGTCGGGCACCTCCTGGGCACCGCGAACGCAGAACTGGACGCGGAGATGAACGACAGGGGCTCTGCCCCGGTGGGTGAAAGGCTGGTGCCGACCTTCCCCTGAGAGGGAAGTGGACACGTGCCTAGCTCCTTCTTGATGGCCTTGATGTGAACATTCCAGAGTGGGACAGAAATAGAACTTTTTTCTAATTTAATACAGAATTTGGTGTCATGGGTTATTTTTCGGGGTTGGGAAGGGCTGTCGGCCTGACTGGTGTGAATGGGGGGTGAGACAGTAAGCTCTAGGGGCCCGGGGCCCAGGGGAAGACCACCCCCTGTGTCCTGGAGAGTCTGAGATGTCATCCACCTCTGTCCCCATGGAGGGAGTCCCCGGGGCAGAGCACACGCCCTGCCTGAGCCTCCTGTTTGCCGACTGTAGATGGACGCGGAATCTCCCACCGGCCCCAGAGTCACTCAGAGGCTCCAAGAGGAGGCCAGCGTGCATAGCAGAGGGCAGAGGCTGAGCCCACGTGGAGGGAGGTCCTTGTCCCCACACTACAGGGAAGGCGCTGCCTTGGCTCCCACCCTGGATGAGAACCCCACTGAGCTTCCCTCTCCCCCATGGCCCTGAGGCCTGTCCTGGCAGGGAGGACCGGGCCTGCTCCCCTGAGCTGGACAGTCAGGACTGGCTTCTGTGTAAAAAGACAAAATAAGTCCCAGGACCCCTCCCCAGGCCCTGAGCCCTGCCCCGGCTGAGCCCTGCACCCCCCGGTTCTCTGTAGACTCGGGTTCCGTCCCCCTGGGCCACGGTTTCCTCATCTGTAAGGTGGTCACTGTGCCAGCCCTGCTTTCAGGCACAGGACGGGACAGGACTGCGGCTCACAGGGTGTGACTGTGCCTGGTCAATGGGAAAGCGCCCCGTCATCAGAGCCCGGGCACCGTGAGCGACGCCTGCTCTCCAGCAACCCTGGCTGAGTCAGAAGGCCAGGGCCAGAGGAGGGAAGGGCCAGGTCACCCACAAACGTGGTCAGCGGGGAACAGGTTGGCAGCGCCCACCCGGGGCCTCAGACACCCATGTGCCAAAAGGGGACTCCGATCGTGTGGCTGCCGTGGACTGACTTTCCCAGTTGTGTCAGGACGTTTATTCTAGCAGCTTCTAGGTCACGGATCCCTCAGGTGCTCAGGTTTCAACACGACCCCCCACATCCTGCAGGGGTCTTCCTCGGGCTGAGGTGGGAGCCGGAAGTGTTCTCGCCAATGTCACCACATTTCTGTCCACCTCCCGGCCTCCGCCTTGCTCAGGCCCCGGGCCAGACATCTGGTCCTGCTCACTCTGGGCCTCCCTCTGGTCTCTCCTCAGGAAGATGGTGGATGAGACTGTGGGTCCCCAGACTTCTGAGTGGGGTGGGGGAAGTACAAGCCCCCCCCCAACCCTGGGTCCTCATCCTCTTTCCCTGTCAACCCTAAGGGGTTCAGGTGACCAGACGTCGCAGCTTCCCTACTGAGAGGGCACTCTGTGGTGCCGTTTCTTCCTCCCTAAGGGCTTCACTCCCTTTCCCTCCTGTCTGTGGGACAAAGGAGGACCTGGCCACTGCTGCCAGCTGTGTGACCTTGGGCAAGTGACACGCCCCCTCTGTGCACCAGTCCCCTGGGTAGCGAGTTTCCTTGCCTCTTAGGATCACTGTGACAATTGAGTTCATCCATTTCGCACGTGGCAAGCGCCCGGCACCTGTTAAGAAGACAGTCGTCCCCTCGGGCAGCCCCAGCCTCTTCCTACCAGTGACCAGCCACTCTGACACCGCGCGAGCTCGCGGTCTAGTTCCAGAGAAGCTGGGGACTCGCCTGGCGGTGTGCAAAGTGGTGAGCTCACTTTTCTCAGGGAAAGGCTTAAAATGAATCACCCAAGGAGCCCGACAGGCACCCGAGTCACCTTCCCCTGGGTTCCTAGTCTAGCCCTGAGGACTGGAGACTCAGAAGTTCAAGGACGACTTCTTTAAAAGGTGAATTCTCATAAATATTACCATGGATCAGTACGCCCCCAGAATGTGAGTGTTAGAAACATCATGGCCATCGTAATGCCGCCAAGAGGTGGGACCTGTAAGGGGGGCGAGGGAGGCCGTGGGGCTCTGCGCTCCTGATGGAATCATGCGTCACTCTGGGAGGGGTTCCTTCCAGAAGGACGAGCCCAGCCCCCTCCTCGGTCTCTCGGTATCTTCCCCTTGGTCCCGTCACCATGACACAGAAGGCCCCTCCAGATGCCGGCCCTGCACCTGGGATCCCCCAGCCTCAAGAATCAGGGCCACGGCATCTCTTTTCCTTGCAGATCAGCCGGTTAGGATGCTCTGCTGGGGCAGCAGGAGGTGAGCTAAGAAAAGCACATCACGGACAAGTGTCGACATATGATCAACTCACAAGAGATTGTGTCCCACGACAACTAAAAAATAAATATTTTAAAAAATTAAAAAAAAAAAAGAAGTTCCAAGGACAGATACGCCAGGGACCACCAAGATCACAGAGGGGACAGCAAATACGGACAAAAGGAGTCACCTGCCATGGGAAGTGACCGATGTCATCTCCACTGGATGTGACTCATTTGCATTCTATCAGTTTTCAATGACTTGAGTTGAAAAATAGCTCAGAAACAACGAAAGAGGCAGACGTCCTGGCCGTGGCCCGACAGAACCGCAGTCATTTTTATGTGCCCCTTTCAACATCTTTTGCAATTTTCCCCTCACAGAGTTACTTTCACTCTCTGGATCTGACTCTCCCACCCATTAAATAGGGATAAGTGGAGCCTCCGCAAAGGTTTTTTACCTGTAAAGCACTTGATGGAGCTGGGTGCTGTGGCACACACCTGTAAACCCAGTGACTCGGGAGGCTGAGGCAGGAGGATGGCAAGGTCAAGGCCAGCCTCAGCAACTAAGTGAGGCCCCTTCTCAAAAAAAAAAAAAAAAAAAACAGATGAGGCTGTATGTAGCTCAGTGGTAGAACCCACCAGTGTCCAATCTCCAGTATCAAAAAACAAACAAAAAACACTTTGTGGATGTAAGACACGATCATTTGTTGCTTTTCAAATTCCTCTAGAACTCCAGTTAAAAAGTCCCTATCTGCAAAAGGTTTAGAAATACAGTAAGAGACTCACAGGACACAGATACAAATGGACACCAAACAGGGGAATATTCTCAACCTCAACCACAACTAACCATGTCAGTCAAATCGTAACAAAGACATCTGTGTATCTTTCAGATTGGCAAATCCATTGGGGAGGGTTTGGTGAAACAGGCGGCCTCAGACCTGGGGAGTGGAGTGAATCATGTCAGAGGGCAAGCTGGCACCGACTGTTAATAATCTAATGCAACTCTTTGACCCGGTGATTCTATTTATAAGAGGACATGCATCACTGAATGTTTGAATGACCATAAATCACCACATTGTCGGTCTAGTAAGTGTGTTGCTTGATGTCCCTCCAAGTTCTAGTTTGACTATTCCTCAAGAAAGTTATCTTCTGTGGATATTTTATTCTGAACGGCGTGACAGTGTGTATTGGACGGTGGGGGGAATGCACTCAAACGGCAGACTTTGTCTCCCCATGTAGACACCTACCCAGTCTCCCTCCATTTGAGTGCTTACCTCCTCACCTAAACTTAAGTGTCTTTCTAATTCAAAAGCTGCACTTGTTCTGAGCATCATGAGCAGAAGTTAAGCTGATGTGAAAACAGTTTGCAATTCAAAAAAAAAAGAATCAGCTTAATCACTTAGAAGAGAATTGTGTTGTTTTCATGAAGTTGTGCGAGTGTTTTCCTCCGTCACGTCACTTCCCCTTCTGTATAATGAAAGACGGGCTGGGATCAAGTGGTCAGTTCACTTCCTTCGCCTGAAGCCCTTACATGGGATTTCACTCTGGCCCAGGCTGGGCTGCTCCTTCCCAGGAACGGCGGGAAATCGGTGAGCCATCCACTGTGGTACCCAGGCTCACCGCTTGGTCCTGGTTAATCAGCAAAAGCTGTATACTCAAAAATATTAAATGCACACACACAGGCACGCTGGGCGTGACGACGTTTTGGCCAATGGTGGGCCACGTGGGCCACGTGGTCCTGGCAGTGATGGCCCTCATGCCACGTAGCTACTCTGTGGCGGTGCCCTCTGATGCTGGCAGGACAAAGCCCCAGGACACAGTTCTTAGAGAGCATCCGTTCTTCAACAAGGCACCCCTGTTGGTAAACACTGTGCATGACAATGTCCATCGAGGCTTGGTGGTCGCCAAAGCCAGAATTGCTAAGAGGAGACTGGCTGAGCCTCTTGGAGTAAATCCATCCAGCGGTTGAGTATTCCCAAGAAGTAGAATCAGCAAACCCGAGCCACAGAGGCACACCCGGGGTCACAGCAGTGCCATCACGGCAGCCACGCGGTGACCCACCCAGGCGCCTGTCCACAGATGAATAAAGAAAAAGTGGTCTATATGCACAGCGGAGTTCCGCCCGGCCACAAAGAAGAGTGACATTGTGGCATTTGCTGGTGAGGGGGTGGACCCGGGGGAGATCACACTGAGCCAGACTCAGAAAACCAAGGGTCGAATGTTGTCTTTCAGGAGCAGAAAC